TCGTTTCGCTTGTACATTTGACGGCGTGTACAGACACGCGGAATGGAATTGAGCAGCTTTAGAATGTGCTGGACCAACAAGTATGATGAACAGCGGTTCCACCTCGCAACCTTCAGGACTTCAAAGATCTGCTGCCAACGTATTGGTATTGGACATTAATGGCGTAGACATACACGCGGATACACGCGGATAGCTCAAAATGCGTATATAACACGCCACTTGACTCGAAAGTGGCGTGTATGTTTACGCAAAAGTCATGATGTCATCTTGCGACAGTAAACATATTTGGAATGATACAAAACATGGAAGCCTTGATTAGCATAAGTCTCTTGTTTCAAAAACATTTAAAGGGATACTCCACTTTTTTTGGAAATAGGCTCATTTTACAACTCCCCCAGAGTTAAACAGTTGAGTTTTACTGTTTTCAAATCCATTCAGCCGATTTTCTGATATTTAGAAGAATATCAGTAACCAGTTTCTGGTCTCATTGACTTCCATAGTATATATTGTTTCCTACAATGAGACCAGAAACTGTCTGGTTACTGATATTCTTCTAAATATCAGTAACCAGACAGTAACCCTTTAAAAAGGTCGTACTGATCCCATACTTTTGAACAGTTGTGTGTATATTTGTAGGACATATGTGTATATTTTATATGTAATATGTGTATGTTCTCATGTCCTCATATATACATATTATAAGTTCAAAAGTTTAGAAACACCAACATATACATTTCTCACATCCCAAATATACTGTAAGTCCACTTCCACATTTATTTTATGAACTTATCCATTGAACTTGGCGTCTCACTAAGTCCTACACTGAACTTCCCTGTGACTCTCGTGTGGTGCCTACAGAGCACAGCCATCTGGGACAGGTTAAACGAGGGCCGTGCCGCTCCACAGAGATCTGCTTCTACAGGGCCCCATATACTGACCCTAGGGCTCAGTCTACTGAAAGAAAGCCATGCCCTGTCTGCCATGGAGCGGGGGACGGGTCTTAGGTCCCTCCCGCCCCTCTGGAGAGCAAGCATTGTGCACTTGCCTCTTCCCACACTCCTGCTCACCTCTGGTGGGTGGAGCCTGGACCCCCGTCAATCAGCCAGCATGCGGTCCCTGATGCACCGCAAGCCAGCACAAAAGAGCTTTTTTGTTTCTGTTTGGTTTTGTGCAGCTCTATAAAAGTGTCTGGTGCGGAGAAAGAGAAAAGGGTGCTTGCATGTCTGCTGCAGGTTCCTGGAAGTTCTGGAAGGTTTTTCTTATGTGGTAAAGTTGCTCTAAAGCTAAACTACTTCTGGTAAAATACATAGAGCGTCTTTTCGTGTACAGACGACGTTGTCAAAACGATCCCCATTCACACAGATCCACGAAAACGACTAAAAACACTATATTATGCCAGGCCAGTAGTTGTTGGTGACGTCACTTTGTAAAGAAACACCATGTTTCTATTGATTGAACACTTAATATGCATGCACATGACATCACCGTTTTCACGAATTCACATTTTTGTAGCTTACACAGAGATGATGGAGGTATCGTTTTCAAAATCTTGCACAAGTTTGTGTTTTCAGGCCGCCAAAATGCTGCTGTCGTATAAACGAACGTCCAAAGCGCATAAAAGGGTTTCAGCTTTTTCAGTACACCGTGTCGTGTATGAATCACTCTGAAAGGCCAAACACAGTGAGAGTTCATTAAAAGCAAGCAATGTAAGGCCGCATGCATGTCTGAGCTGAGTAAAGTTCAGCTCTGTGTATTTAACTCATTGGCATACCTGAAGGATTGTGGATGTTGTATACTTATATGAATCAATGACTTATTCTCTGTTACACTGTGAGAGTCTGAATGAAAAAATGAAACAGGAAATGAAAGTGATCTAATGATAAAGAATGTTCACTTCTGTGGTTTCAACTAGTATTCTGAAACAGAAATCAGAGTCAATATTGAAAGCTAAACTAATTAATTGAAACTTTTTAAATATTTTTTAGTTTATAGTTTTTAGTTTAAGAATTTAACTTGTTTGTGCATCACCACAATGCTTAATCATTATGGGTTGGTGTTGTTGCGTGTGTGTGTGGATATCCATGTTTTTTATTATATACTACATACTATATATACAGTATATAGTATGTAGTATTATATTTAAATCTAAATATACTAGTATACTATATGTACATAAAAACCCTGCACACTTAATTCACTGTTTAACACCACAACTATCGCACTAACATTTAAATGTTTTTAAAAACATTAAAAAATGGCTCAACTTCAGTGCATTGAACTCATAGTCCAAGTATGGGTGCCTACAGAAGGATAACAGCTTTTTCTAAGAATGCATTCATCACATTTAGGCCTCTGAAAACCATTCAGAGGTATTTTTCTCCACATTAAATGCTCTTCCCATATGCACCAACAGCGGGGTTCTGGAGATCCAGAGGGGCCCCTGCTCAAAGTTCAAGAGCTCCACCGTGAACCCCCCTTCCTATGCCTCCTCCACCATGGTTACACATCCATGATAGACAAATATGAAAGCATGTGGCTCTCGGCTGCAGCTGACATGATCATTCGTGCTCTGTCTGGCTTCTGGAGCTTGCCAGCAAGCCTCATTAGACTCGAGCTATATGCACTAACCAATGAGAGGGCTTAGGTTGAAGGTTGATATGTATTTGCCAGCCCTGTAACACCTGTCAAAGTCCCTCCCACTTCATTAATAAGAACGGGCATTTGAGATTTCGGTTGGGTACAGATTCTCGCTCCTCTGCTAAATAATGAAACGGGTTTATGTTGGGCATGTGGTGCATTGTGAGACATTGTGGAAGATACGTCGTGACCGCATCTTCTCCAAACAGGAAGGTTTATTTGACAGGTCACTGATGCATGCAGGGGGGTAGTTTTATAAATTCAGCAGGCCCTTCGTTATTTTAGAGTAAGGAGATTCAACATTTAAAGAGACAGTTCAGTCAAAAAGAACAGAACAATTATGTCACAATTTATCCATTTGTATGTTGTTTTGGAGCTTACAAGCTTAAAAAGTATGCAAAACCATTGCATAAAAACAATTTGTTTCAAACTTATTGACTCTTATGGTAGTTTTGAAATACATAGAAAAGGAAATTATGAGTGAATTATGAGTTGCTCACTGGAAACTGGAAAAAGACTTCATGTTTATATGAGCACATTTATGAGACTTTCATAGTGGTTTTATGATGCTTGAAAGCTTCAGTCCCTATTCATTGTAATCACATAGAACCAAATGGCCAGTTACATATATATATATATATATATATATATATATATATATATATATATATATATATATGAAAAGTTCAGATGCAAAAGCCTCTAAGTGCCATTTGAAATTTTCTTCTAGAATGATCATTTTTATCAAGCTTGTATATTTAAGTTCAGTGATTTCACTTAAATGGCAATAATAATTACCTATTAATTGTTATTTAAGTGAAATTACTGAACTTAAATATACAAGTTTGATAAAAATCATCATTAAAGAGGAAAATTTCAATTGGCATTTAGAGGCTTTTGCATCTGAACTCTTCATATATATATATATATATATTGGTGTGTTCTACAGAAGACAGAAAGTACTAATTGTTTTAAATGACATGAGGGTGAATACAAATTCGATTCGTTACAATATAGCTTCTTATATTGGTTGCTGCATGTACATGTTCTCTCTAGACTGTCCTGTCTGTCACAATAATGTGATAGACAGCAAGAGAAAGATAGAGAAATGCAGATAAAAAGACAGTGGCACTAAGAAACCTCACTACATTTATTTTTCAGCTCTAGTGTGTGTACAGGCTTGTCTGAGCCATCATAAACACCCCCGGCACTCCTCCACACACCCCGGGCAGTGTGCCTGATTGTCTGTCAGCCATTGTTGGAGAGGGTTTGCACAGTAGAGACATCTCATTTACGCTCCCTGCCATCACATTCAGCCACATGAAATGTGGTGCACTCTAAAAAATGCTGGGTTGTTTTAACCCAATTTTGGGTAAAATATGGACAAACCCAGCCATTGGGTTAAAAATGTAATTTAAAAATGTAACCCAATGGCTGGGTTTGTCCATATTTTACCCAAAATTGGGTTAAAACAACCCAGCATTTTTTAGAGTGTGTCATGTTTTGGATAGGTGATGGAGCTTATGAGGGCTCCTGCGTGGGAGGAACCAGCTGGCAGAGGGAGGAAAATGGTGGCCTTTTTCTAAGAGCAGTTAGATTATTGATTTGACCTTCATCTTTAAATACCAAACATTGAGGTTTTGATTCAATGGTCTCTGTTGTGTTGGTTTAGTTTGTGTCCCCATGCCTGTGAACGTCAGGGCAGTAAAGTGACTTTGACCCAAACCAAACTCCCTTATCTAGATGTCCATTAGTAATTGCCACTGACAATCGGTGATGTATTGTAAGTCGAGGCCATGACCGGTAGGTATCTATCTATGGTTGCATTTACTGTGTGGTCTTGTTGCCCAATTCCAATTTATTGACTACATTTTTTTTTTGATGACCAGCTTACATCTTCTTTTGTAGAAGATGGCCGGAAATTGACATGGATGAAATGATAATAAAAAACTGTTGCCTTCCACGCCATCTTTAAAGGTCAGAAAAACTACTAGCCATAGTACTATACTAAAAGCTACTGAATCTATCTATCTATCTATCTATCTATCTATCTATCTATCTATCTATCTATCTATCTATCTATCTATCTATCTATCTATCTATCTATCTATCTATCTATCTATCTATCTATCTATCTATCTATCTATCTATCTATCTATCTATCTATCTATCTATCTATCTATCTATCTATCTATCTATCTATCTATCTATCTATCTATCTATCACTTTTTACACAAATTGTGAACAAAAATCACCTCCTTTCTAATACACACACACACGCCTACTTTTGACGCCACGGACACACACAGCGTGACGCCTCCTTTATCCAGCTCGCTGTGGTCAGAGAGAGAGAGAGAGAGCATCTCACGCCAGATTCGGATCCTCCATCAAGAAGGCGCACTGTTTCTCCGGCTCAGCTCATTTCAGTACTCCAGCGCAGCCACAGGCTCACCAGCCGAAGTTTACGCACAGGGATGCGGGCGCGTGGAGCCGCCTGAAAATGGCTCACTTTAGGATTTACTCTTTCCTCGCTTCTTTTCACATATTAGTGTTGTGTCAAGCCTTGAGGAATTATCCTGATAATGAAGGTAAGCCATACAGTCGCTGTCATATTCGTGCGCTTTGGATGTTCATGGATTCCGTTGGACTTTGAATCACGGCAAATGCATGTTGGCTACAATTGTTTCTCTCCCGGGGCATTAAAGTCGAACGTTTAAAGACAGAAAATGCCTTAGAGAGAGAAAACATCTCAAGTATAAATTAATGATGATCACTTCTGCTTAAGAGCAACACAAATTGTCGTAGCAACATTTGACGAGTGATCCGTAAATTTGACTTTTCATTGCTGAGTTGAAAGGAATGAAAATGTGTTTTTGACCAAAATATGATGTAATGCTGCCCTAAAAGCTTATGTTTAGGACTTTGGTAGTTTGTTTTTAAAAATCATCCTAAACGGTTGTCAAACGTAATAAATAAAGACACAAATAACGTTGAATACAATTGAAAGAAAATGACGGTTCTTTAAGTCAATTCAGGCTAAATCAAACTGTTTGTGTTGCGGGTTGATGTGCATTTAGCATTGCCAGGGATTGTTTGAACAGACACTGCCGTGAGCAGTGAATGGACGTGTGATACACTTCTTTGCTTAATTAAACAATTAATTAGATCAGAGAGTGGCTCCCACAGACACTTTATTATTCTAACCTCTCCAGACCAATACATCAAATTTGACCATTTGAGAGTGATCTCACTTTGAAACTGCCATCAGCCAAAGTTACTCAGCATTCAGCAAAGAAAGTGTTTTTAATTTTTTAATTTGTTTCCCTTTTTAAGTGATCCAGTAACATTTGTAATAGCATCTTAAATGACACATATCGGGCATTTTTTAGACTATATGTTTAAGGATGCAGTAGGATGACAGTTTACAACACAGTCCGACTTATTTCACTCTGAGCCTTCAAAAATCAGACAATAAATTAACCTCACTGGATTAAAACGCGTTTACTCCTCATTGTTATGAGATTAGGATTAAGCCACCCATTGTGCTGTTGTCAGGAGGAAGGTTCAATGGTGGGTTTAATACACATTTAGGCGGAATCTATCAGATAGGATTTTGTGCAGAGCATTTAGACCTGATGTCTTTGGCTGGCTGGGGGCTTTTGGGAAATTAAAATTTGACAGTGGGAGTCAAAATGGTTGTGCGAGGTTTCCTTTTGTTGCTACGTTAGTTTGTTCATTAGCACATCTCAATAATCGTTAGGTTTAAATGAATCTTTCAGCTTCACATCATTTGTGGTGGTGGAAATTGAAATAATGTTGTCGAGGTGTGCACTTCCTCTAACCGCCAGATGGTGGTAACCCTGAGGTGATTTTGCAACAGGGTTCTGTGAATGTTTGTGTTGCGACCTGTGAGCAGATCTACATCTGTGTTTGAGTGTTGATGAACTGTTTATTAACTTGTTCTGCAGTTTTTGTGTCTTGTAAGCATTTTCTACATTAAGGATGGTAGACATGTCCCATATCAACATATGCTTGATATCTGTCTTCTGGCCAAACTAATACACATCAGCACTTATTTAATGTTAATGAATACGTTTTTTTTTTAATTCAGGTCCAAATGACTGACTTTCTCAGCACATTTTCAGTTTTTGGAATACATTACTGCAGCACTTGGATATTTAAACCCCTCTGGAGATAATAAAGACCAAGATGTTGCAGAAACATTTTTAAAATCACTAAAAAAAGGTCCATTCACACAAGTTAAATCTAGTTGCACCACATGTAGTCCTCCTAAAACTGTTTATCGCTACCTCTGTTTCTAAACTGGCTGCTCGTAGACAAATAAAATGGGCTGAAACAGAAACGACTCTACAAAAATACAAACATTTACTAATTATATTCTATAATAAACTAATTAAATATTACTGAGCATTGTTTGGATAGAAAAAGAAATAAATTGGCTTTTGGTAGATGCTATCCAAATTAGGCAAATGCATACAGTAACATCTGGATTATTGGCAAGAGCACGATTAACCAAAATACAGATGGAAACCAAACATGCTTATAATTTTGCATATTGTTGGGCATAAGCAAGTTATGGTAATATACATTTACTTCTGCATGGCTAACGGTTTCAGTGCAGTGTTAATGTATAATTGTAAAATCTGGATGATGTATCCAAATGAGTTCAGAACTACTAATCTAGGGTTGATTAACTATTGTAAATGTGTAGCACAGGAACCAGTGATAACCTTTTACTCTGTATAAGGATCTTTTTAGTTTTAATAAGTGCCTTCTACTGCCCTCTTGTTTTTCTAGTTAGCGCTAAGGTCCCCCTCATTAGCTTGTCCTTTGTGCATGTTCTTACAGCATTTAGTGACGGTTTCTTGTTTGCTTTTGTTTCCCTCACTGGCGCTCCGGCAGGGAAATTAGCATGAGAAAACACACTTTTTATGTTCAATTCACTTGCGCTCAGAGGCTCTCGTTCTTTCACTCTCCTTCTCACCATCTCTTAGCTACTGACTTAGAGAGAAGCTTGAATTTGCATCTCTGTTGTTTGAGTGTTGTCTGAGGAAGTCTGTTGATTAGTATAACCTGTGGCCTTCCTTTTTGTTTTCCAAGGATATTGGTTATTTTTTCCCTCTAGTTGGTAAAAAGAAGGGTTTATACATGGATACTTCAAGTGGTCGACTGGTAGGCCTTTATTTAAGATCTTAATTAGTTGCAACAGTGCTGTCATTCTGTATCTGCCATGCTGTTTAAATGATTGGAAATCTTTAAGATATTGGGTTGGAAACTTAGAGCAAATTTTGCATGCTCATATGACTTTTTAATGGTCCGATCTGATGTCTAAAAGCTCTTTTTGCTAATCTAAATCTCTGATACAAACTGACACTGTATTGATTCCAATCCAGGCTCATGGAAAAATTTAAGGAAATTTTGTCTTTGGCTCATTATAATTTCTGCGAAAAGATATTACTTTGCTTCTTGCACGTTTCACATCACTTTCAAAGAGTGGTGCTAAAAGTGTGTTCAGTTTTATCTGAAAGAGATGGATGTGAATATAGCAACATTTTATCACATTGGTTGTTGTATGGAAATGAAATGTCTGACAAGTGGTGGTGCTAAAAGGTAAATGCTCTTTGTATTTAAAAATGACGTACCTACACTAAACTCTACCCTACCCTAAATCTAACCGATAGCTTTAACAAAAGCAAACATGAGATAAAATGGATTGCTGAAGCAACTATGCTTGCTTTTACAAGTCTTCAAGCTCGTTTTTATCGTGACTTGTTTCACAGGATTCGTACACTGTACCAGGTGAGGTACTGAGCAAGTTTACTACATCAGAAAATACATAAAATTTCAACTGGTTATGTGATGGACCTTATGTTTTATGGTCATATAACATATAATGTTTTGGGAACTGCGCAAAAATAAGTATTTATTAATCGATAATCTGCCCATGTAATTCTAATTAGCTTGAAAAGGAATGAAAGTTGTTTGTTCTATTTTACCAAGTCTTCATTTCAGATGGAACTGCAGTAAATTACATGTATAGTTTCGCAGGTTTGTAAAAATGAGCCTAGATTGATACAGTTGAATCAGTCAACTCAAATTCCCAGAGCTTTAGTCCAAACCATTAACATGAGAGCTATTACTATTTCTGTCTCTTGCTCTTCTGAATGGCTCACCTTAGACCTTATCACCACCGGCTGCATCCGAACTCCTGCAGACCAGACGGCTCATGCGCTAGAATGAGTCTTGAGACCTGTGGCATTTCAGGATGGTGGAGGCACATGAATGCTTTGAATCTGGCTGGAGAGCTGAGTGTTTTCTGTTGGGTAACATGCCATGTGAATCTCCTCAATGACACAATTCGTTATTGGTCTATTTACCTCGCCTTGAGCGTATCCGTGTCATTGCATCTCATATTGCATCTGAGAGCTGGTGAAATGTAATCCTTATTTATTCTTCCTTGTCTTGTCGAAGGTGTAGTTCTATAGAGAAATCTGTCATTTTTATTCACCTTTATATATTTTAACACTTATTTTATCATATTTGAAAGTCCAAAACAACATTAGGGCTCATTGACCTTTAATGTATGGACAAACAAACTTTCCCTTATCAATCAGAGGCGGAACATCAACTTACATCCCACATTTCCTTCAGGGTTCAAAGGTCATTGTGTTTTATCATCCGCCATTTTGCTTGAGGACTTTGCGTGTTTTGGATTTAGGACGTTCTGGTTGTGTTAAAGAAATGAGACTTGATTAAAACAGATCCCTTGTGTGTTCATATGCACGAGACCCTTTTAGCCGACAACAGCTTTGATCTGTCCTTACTGTGTGGCCCAGCCCACTCCTTCACTTTCATTAACATGCCCTCCCCTCTCTGTTCACAGGACTCGGCCTTAATGTTTTTTAATGTCTGAGACGGTGTAAATTCTGTTGTGCGTATCTCATTAACAGCACTACGCTTATCACTGATGTTCTGCTCTCCTGGGGGTTCGAAGCTCGTGCTCTATGATTCCTGGGAGGTTTTATTAGATTGGACCCCTGCATTTCGTTAATGCAAGGCTTAATTGCTCAGAGACTCATTCCAAATTTGAAAATGGCTGTTGCATGCATATTACGACTAGCTTTTTTCCTTTGATTGATGTTAAATAAGTATGTTAAAATGAATTATATTTTGTTTTATGGAATTTGGGATTTAAACCAAACCCTAACCCTTAGTATTAAACTTTGATGCCTAACTTGAACTGACATGAACGATGCCTCAAACTGTGTGTAATGGGGGCTGAATAACTTTTAGATTATTTTTAATTCAACATTTATGTGATTAAAGTTAAGTCGACGTCGACTAGTCGCTGATGAGGTCATTAATGAACAAATAAGCCTGAACCTCGAGCTGAGACTCGGGTTGCTATGGCATATGACACAGCATATGCCATAGCAACTCTTGTCTTTGGGTCATTATATTTCTCACAGATTTCTGCTCTACACATCAAAACATCATTTTAACAGGATAGAAATATTTGGACCCCGTTTACTTTCATTATAAGGACAAAAAATGTATTATAATTATT